ACCGAAGATCAATATGGAGAGCCTAATGAGATAAAAGTGAAGAGCTTATAAACTTTTTTTATTAATTTATATAAATTTAAAGGATATTAATAAAAAAATTAATAATTACTTTTTCTAATTCGTAATATTTTTTAATCTATTATATCATTTTTTTTTCTTCAAAAGTATTGTATTGCAATTTATGAAATTTAATTAATTAATTATAAATGGATAAAAAGAACAAATAAATATAATAATAAATTAATTATCAAATATTAATTTATATATTTGGTTTTATGAAGAGATAGATATCACAGAAAAATTATTTAATATTCATTATTTAAACTGAATATTTGTATTTAAAACATATACTTAAAAATATATATAGTAGGAATATAGATGGTCAGTTATTCATTTAGTCATATTTGAAAAAATTCTAGTAGTTTTCATTTTTTTCAATTAATAAATTGTTTAAAATTTCTATCCTAATCTGAATTTAGTTTTTTAATAAGCGCTTAAAATAATTTTTTTTAATTAAAAAAAATGATATTGATTATTAATTAAATGAAAAAGAAAGGCTGATTAATAAAAATATAATATTAATAAAAGAATGAAGCATCAATAAATAAATAAATCTAGAATAATCCTTTTCTTTATTTTATAACGTGAAATATAAATTTCTAAAACTTAGCCAGCATAAAAATTTGAATGTTCTAAAAGAATTTCGCTAAAGAAAGCTAAGAAGTAAAACTATTAAATTTGGTTAAGCTTTTTTGTATCTATTTTTGTAATTTAAAACTTCTTCGAATTATAAATAAAAATCTTAAAGGTTTTTTTTATCAAAAAAAATTAATTATGAATAACATTTACATTAAGATTTACAAAGAAGAAAACTAATTTCATGAATGAAAAAATTTAAGTTTAAAAAGAGTAATTTATTATTTGATAAAAATGTACTCCTGAGTGCATGCATATATGCTTTTATGTATATTTGTGCGATGAAATCGAAATATAAATATTTTTTTATATGTAACTTTGCATCTGATGAATGAAAAGGTAGTATTAGTGTTACCATAAAAATATAATAAATCTTCGGTCACATTTATTACATTTATTGGATAAGAGATTAAAAGAAACAAACAAACAAGCAAACAAATGATTTTTGATTTCGCTTTCTATCTTTTTCACTTCATACAACTAGAAAAATAATTAAAGATAATTAACATTAAATTACAACTTCAAGTCTGCAGTAAACAAAAAAAGTAATTAATTAAAATATATACATCAAAAATAATTCAATCTATTAATCAAACAATCATGTAAAATATGGAGACTGAATAACGATATTCTAACCAAATTTTGCACGCTTCTACAAAATAAAACGAAAATTCATGTTAAACACTCTAACTTATTTAAATGGATAATGTAGATATCTGCTATAAATAAGATTTATAATAGAAAAATAATCAGAGATAAACATTTAATCAATTATCGAAATAATAAATGATCTAATTTGATTAAATGATCAATGACAACTATTTCTCTCAATAAGAATAGTATAGATAATTTTAGATTTAAAATTAGCCTTTAAATTATCAGTATCAATGCTCTATTAACTCGAGCACGGATACTCTTGCTTCTTCTCAGTCGTCTTAGGAGTGCAATTATTACGATGGAGTGAGTAAATTTGGCTAAGTAAAATAGGAGAATCGCAAGGGAAGTGGTGATAGTACCTCTGATTAAATAGAAGGAGAAAATGAAATGGGAGTTGAATACGATGACTACACGAATGTATCATACCAGTATCCTGAGTATAATGAATAAGAGGAGAAAATTGAAGAGGAGAATAACAAAATCATGATAGAGCGCTTAAACAAGCAGTAAACATTTGTGTTTTCAATGGATTAGAAAGAGAACAGTGATGTTGAGTTCAAATACTTGCCACTAAATAAAATTTTAACTAGCGAAAGAGAGTTTTATATGTACGGGGATATTATTCTAGAGAGAAATTATAGCTACTAGGATGAGAAAGCAGTGAATTCTTTTTGTCATTGGAAATACATAAACAGCGCTGAAACTAAATCAAATTTTGTTAAAATATTGGCTAATAACAAGAGTTGTTGTGCTGAAGATTTCAACTAAGTTATTCAGATTTACAGATCTTATCAAAATCAAGATATATACGAGATTACTCAGCTCTTAGAAAAATTTAGTTTTATGTTTAAATACTTGAAGCAGGGTTTACAAAAATAAGCAGAATATATAGAGATGTTTAGCAAATATTAAATGTTGATGAAAAGGTAGCAATTGTTTGAGCAGCTAAGTGATGAATATCTTTGTAAAATACCCTAAGATAAATTTTTTTTGGCTATTAAAATCCAACCTAATTTCAAAGATGGGCAAATTGAAGGCTCTAGAATATGTTTTTCTAGAAGTTTGCTCAAGCTTGTCAACATGCCAGAAGAGAAATTTATCAACTTGATTCTAAGAAACAAGGCTCCTGAATTTTTTGGATGGTAATTAAGATTGATGTTTTTGAGAAATAAGCTTAGTAAATTCTTGAGAAAATCAGATGAAGAGGATTTTCTAGAGGGCGATCTTTTAACGAGAGATGGTCTGAGAATACCGTCAAAAGTAAAGAAAGAAGTAATAAGATTTAATATCGACCAGCTCATTCCTGAGTTAACTTTGGAGCCATTCTAAGAGACGCTTGCGATCTATTACTTTGAGATAGATTAAAATACTTTAAACCAAATCAGCTACATGAGAAATAACTACAATATAGAGGAATTAAGTTACGATGAAGAAGATTTCTACACATATTCATTGGAAACATAAGCCTTCCTAGAACTTTATTATTCAAATATAAACTGCTCATCAAAAAAATACTAAAAGAAAAAGCAAAGCAAAAAAGCATCAGAATTTAAAGGAGGAGATTGTAACATTGAATGAACAAAAAAAAAAATACCTCTCATATAAACTGTATTGAAAAATTAATCAATTAATTATTATTAGAAAAAATCCAATCGAGAGAGAGTGTGAAGAAGTTGAATTGAAATAATTAATATATATAAAAATAGTTGTTGTCAAAATAAAGAGTAACATTAATTAATAACTAATAAATTATATTAACCATAAAATACCCGTACTAAATATTATTACCAATACTCTTAACAAATTAATTAACAAGCAAACTAATAAACAAACAAAAAAATAAAACAAGCAATCAAAAAACAAGCAAATAAATCTTAATTAAATCTATTGAATATTATTATAAAGTAAAATAATGTAAATTTGTTTGCTTACTGAAAGATAGGTTTGGCTTGCTTGAATGAATGAAGTAGGATAGATTTACATTAAAAATAATTATTCAAATTTCTAAAAATAAGAGTTGATTGTTATAATAAAAATTGTTATCAAATATTATTTTCTTTCCTAAAAAATATTTAAAAATATCAAAAATGTAAATTTTCATCTATTTAGCTTACAAATTTGTAATCTAATTTTATATAATCTCTTTGATAAAAATTCTTTGAAAACAATTAATTTCACTTTCTTTATTTCCTTTCTTTCTTTCTTGCTTCCTTCTTTTGTTTATTTTTTAACGCTTCTTATTCTGTCTGATAAGCTCTTAATTAAGATTACTTGAGTATATTTTTTGATAGTTAAATTTTTGCTTTAATTAATAAAAAATCCTAAAAAGCCAGATTTTAACCATCCGTTTAAAAACCTTTACAGAAAGATTTATTTTATTTCGAGGTAATTTATTTATAATGCATTTACTTTTTTGTAAAAAGATTTTAAAAAGTCTCGAAAATGTACAAAATAGTTCGAAGAAATAAAAACCGCATAGGTTAGAAACAAATTTTTATGAATTGAAAATACTGATTTAAGAAATACAAAGATTAAGTATAATTACAATTTATATAAGAAAAAAATTACATCACTTTTATTACTTTTAATCCTTTTTCAATGTAAAATTTGTTAAATATTTTGATAAAAAATAAAATCATACACTGTTTTATCTTTGAGTAACTTATAGAAGTCGATTCAAATTAGTTCTCTCAAAATCTTATAAAATCTAAAATCTAATCTTAAATCTTCTCCAAGGCGATGAAAAATTCTTTTTCTTAAGGAATTCTCTACATTCATTTTTAATAATAAAAGCTTACAATTTTATTTTTAATATTGTTTAATTTACCATTTCTGAGTTCTCTAAGTAGCCGCTGCCATAGTTCACTATGAAAGAAAGGAAATACTTTGTGTCTAAATCTCTACAAAATATTTTTCTAGACAAAATATTAAAGAATATAGACAAAAAGGCATCAAAGGTATCTATAATTACTCTGCTATTTTCCTCGCATGAAATTAATTCTTGGCTATTATTTTTAATAAAAACATTTCTGAAGATAGAACTAGCTATTGCGAATTTCGATAAGCTGCTAATATTGCTTGTAGAATAATTTATTTCTTTCGCACTCATACTATTTCTAACAGTATTGATAAACTTGTTCAGTAAGCAATGCGCTTCTTCTTCATTATTATTTTTATAGTTATCACCTATTAACGCCTAAACATGCTAATTTTAACTGCTTTTTTCTTTCTTAAGAGTTGACATTTACTCATTGAATCTATTGCTTTTTGAGTGAATGTGTTTTTTTTCAGTGGAGAGTTCATGATGGGCTTTTCTTGAAAATTTTTAACCCATTTGTAATTCTTTATCTAAAAACATATCAACTTCATTTTGGATCAACAGGTGGTAATCCTTTAAAGACAATACTGACTTATCTTGGGAAAGGCAAACATCAAAATACTGCTCAAAACTTTAAGAAATATTTTTATCACTTTTAAATTTTTTGATTTTACCTGATTGTTTACTTGTGGAATTGAAAGCCCATATTGTAACATTTAAATTTAATTTTGTTTTAAGCTGATCGAAATAAATCTCTTAATTTTATAGTATTTTATTTAGTTGTTCTTATTGTTGCTTCGAAATATCTTGAATATTTTTTATCAGAAGAATGCTATTATTCGATTTTACAAGGGATGAAGCAATATCAAATTAAAGAAGACAATCAAATACATTGAAACTTTAAAGATATCCAAATGTCATCAAAATTTCTTCTATTATGCTATCGACAAATTGGCTTTCACATTAAAAAAGTACATTTAATTAACTAAATGATCCTTCTCTATTGAGACTGCTATTTTTTTGAAGAATCCTATTTGAATTAGCAAGTACATAACTCATAACTAAAGCAGTTTTCAATTACAAAAAGCTAAACTTTGTTGCTTCATTGAAAAATGAATCAACTGCAAACATTAATTATTTAAATTTAAAATGAAAGTTTTCGTTTTCATCATTAGAATTTTATTTCATTTAACTCTCCAATTATTCTTGTTCTGTGATACAATTAAATAAACTAACCTAGTTTATCATTTATTAATTAAATTAAGCATTAGGATCTTTAATATTAATAGAAATTGTGCAAGCAAACAGGTGTTCAGTAATATTTAAAGGTTTAAAACCTGTTAGAAAGTCGTTCTTTGTTTATTTGTTACTCGTAGCCAGGGAATAATAAGCTATACAGCTATAAGTTTAATTTAATGAAAGACTGTTGCAGTATTATTTTTCTAAAAACATTTCAATGAGTTTTCCCTCTTCTTTTTAAAAACCGTTTAATAAACTATTTCTGGTTGAATTATATCTCTCTGGAATATATATAAGTACTTTTTGGCATAATTCAGGTTTACTCTTTTCTTTATCTTCATACATTTCCTAATGACATATATCACAGCTTAAATTTTTAATTAAATTAGAGCTCTGTTTGTTTAGGGATGCAGATTAATTGTTTTCAATAATATGAAGAATTAAATTAGTATTTTAAAGCTTGTAATCATTATTGTTGCAACCACAGTAATAAGAATATCTCTTAATAGAGTAATAATTCTCTAAAGGAAAAATTTTTAATACTTAAAAATATTCAATAAGAACTAGCTGTCCTTGAACAAAAGAATTTTATAACAAAGAATTCTGAAGAATACCTTTCTATGCATAAATATTAAGATTATTAGTAAGATTCCCATTGATGATCTCGATATCAGGAAGTATTTATTCTTGTCTTATTTATATATTCCTCAATTATTTATCTTCAGATAAAATCTTTTATACATAATCTCTAATTAACGAATCTAAATTAGGGTAATTTTGCTAAATATAAATGGAAAGGTTTAAATCTTAGTCATTCAACTATATAATATCCAATCTGAGACTGCACTTAAAAACAATAAAGCTAGGATCTATTAACTTTTAATCTTTTAAATCTTAAATCTTATTATGAATTTCTATATTAAAATCTACGTCTTCTTCCAAAAATTTAATAAATTTCTCCATCTCCTTTCCTAAAAAATTTCTTAGCAAAAATTTCAATAAAAAATTAATTATTACACTTTCGAAAATTAATTAATCAAAAACTTAACTAAATTTTTTTAAACTAATTTTCAGCCAAAAATGAAAAAATAGATTTACTTACAATTGATTTTATCTTAGCTTAGATATTTTTAAATTTAAATGGTAAAGTAGATAAAAAAAAATACTCTTAATTAATTAAAACATTTAAAATAGTACTTAGAAAAATGAATTTTTACAATTTAAAATATTTAAATAGCTTTTATTTTTGGTAATTTTTTAATTTAATTAAATTAATAGAATTTAAAATGATATCAAGTTAGAACTTTTAAATAACTAAAGCTAATTTTTAAGCAGATTTTATAATAATACCATATTTATTTATTTATCTATTTAATATATTCTAGTTTATCTAAAATTTATTTTTAATTAACAAAATTTTATTAAGAAGGCAAAAAGTAAATTAAAATTTAATAAAATTTTTTGCCTGGAAATTTATTTTATTCTTGTTTATGAATTGCTTTGGTACGAAAAATGTTTAATCATAAAAGATGAACAACAATATTGATCTATAAAAGCACATTATTTTTATTTTCATATAAATTTAAATATATTTGCTTTAATTTAACAACTCTTAATAATATTTTATTTAGAATTTGAAAGCTCTTTAAAAAAATCTTCAAAAAATAGAAGCAATAAATAAGATTATATTTAAATTAAGTGGTAAATTACTTGATTAAAAATATAATAGTCTACTCGATTTTTGAAAAAAACACTTTAAAAATCATATTTATGTGAAATTTTTAGAATTCAATGAATATTGAATGTAATTTTTTGATTAATTTTATTTCAAAAATATAAAATTAAAAATTAAGAAAATATTTTTTTAAAATTGTAAAACAGTAAGTTGATTTTATTAAATTGCTTTTTAAAAGGAGTTTTGAGTGAATAGAACGATAAAGTAATAAATGGATGGATGCATATTATATAAATATATAATTTAATTAATTTTATTATTTACATGAATAATTTAGTACTAATTTCTTACAATTTCAACAATGAAAAATCAGCTAAAATAATTTTTGGAGCCTTTACCACTGTAATATCCTCCTTAAAATTCATTTGGTCTGCTATATCTTTCTTACTTTTAATATTATTATTGTTGTTGTTATTATTACTATGGATATCCCATTTGATGGTCAAACTGATCCTTTTTAAGAGCTTGAATCTATTGAATTTTAAAAATAAAATTAATTTTTTAAATAAAATAAATTTAATGAATTAATTACTTCTCTATCTTTCATACTTAAGATGGATTTTAATTCTTCTAAATCTCTTGATTTATGTTAGGTGTTAAATTACATATTTTAGTGAAGACTCTAATAAGAACTTCTTTAAGTAATTTAGGTAGATTGCTATTATGAAGAGGAAGTGTACCCATGCAATTAATTGACAATTTCTTCCATCTAATACTCCATGTCTTCTACTAGGTGATTAATTTCTATATCATCATAGTATCTTTCTTTGATATATCCTGAAATAGATTTACTAATATCATTTAGCATAGTCACCTAAACTTGCAAACTGATTAATTCTTATCTTCTACTATGCTAGAATTGTTTCATTTCTTTAATCTTCTTTTCATAGTATTCAATATTCTGTTGCATCTTAAACTTTAAAGATTAAACATTTTCTGAACCTTCATGATTATTGTTTAATTCCATTCTCATTTTGTCAATTATAACCTAAATTAATAAATATTTTTTATTTATAAAAATAAACCAAATAAATAAGTAAATAAAATCTTTACTTCCATTTCTTATATTTTCTTTTCTTATATCATATTCTATGATTTCTAGTGCTCCAACTAAAGAGAAAGATTTCTTTTTTCAGAGTAAAATTATTAAGCTTGTTTTTCAATATTATCTTTCACTTCTTTTTGCAATTTACTTTTTAATTATTCATTTTCCTATTCAATATTCTTAAATAAAATATTTTATTAATTTATTTAATAATTTTTTATAAAGAATATTAATTTAATCCTAAAAATCAAAACTATAAAAAATATTATAAATTCTTTTATGAGAAATGTATGTTTACATAAAATTAATAAATTATTGACTTTAATTTAGTCAAATATTAATTTATTTACTTATTTGAAAAGCTAAAAGAATCAAAATAATAAATAACATGTAAAATATGTCTTAAAATTATTTTTTTTAAATTCAGATTATTTATTTAAAATTTTAATAAAATAATGATTGAGAAAATATCATTTAACATGTCTTGAATAAAAATCAAAATAAATATTTATATGATTCATTAAATTTGATTTGATTTTTTTTAAGTGAGTAATTTTTATAAATTAATTGCTTAAAAATAAATTATGGAATTTCATTTTTATTATAAATTATTTTGAATTAAAATTATGAAATAAATTGAATTTACTTAAATAATTTCGTTGAGCTCTTTGATAGCTTCTTCTTTCTGGTTGATAATTTGGCTCTTTTCTTTGGCTATTTATTCGAAATTAGCACACTTAGTCTAAACTTTTTCAAGTTCATTGTTTGTTTCTTCTAGAGTTTAGGTCAATGTAAAGATGTTGTCTTTTGCATCCTCAAATTTTTATTTGTAGGATTCGAACTGATTCTAAATGAATGTGTTTGATTAAGCTGATTGCTTTAAATTTTAAATTTATTCTTAGTAATTTTGGATTTCACTTGATTTTTTGTTGTCATTATCGAGAAGCACCTGTTTTTCAGTTTAGAGCTATTCAATAATTTTTTCGAACTCCTCTATTTTTAAGGAAAATTAGTCGTTATTATGGTCTATTTGATCTTTCAATAGAGAAATTTATTGTTTTAGCTCTTCGTTTTGCTCTTTAAGTTGAGAATTAGAGCTATTTTTTTCTTTTTGGAGTTTTTCAATTGTTGCTTTTTATTCTTGCATTTACTCATTTAGTTACTTATTTTGTTCAATCAGCATCATTCTGTGATTTTCAATTTGTTCTTTCAGAAGCTCTGTTTACTGCAATGACTCATTCAATTATTCTATTTCTTAGTCTTTTTATTTATTTTCTTCTTATAGATAATCGTTTTACTCCTTCAATTATTGTGTCTCAAATGTATTTTATTGTCTATTGGCCTTTTACTCTGCTTCATTTAGTTCGTCTTCTAGTTTTTCGTTTTCTGATTTTAACTTTTCTATGAAATCAATTAAATTTGACTTTTCTGCTTTGAGGTCTTCAAGATCATTTCTATCAAATCTCAATACTTCGATTTAATCTTTTAATGACTAATTTTCTTGTTCAAGTTCTTAACTTCTTTCTTTTATCTAAATAATTTTTTAAAATTCAGTATCTCTTTATAAAACTAGCAGTTTTTCCTCTTTTTCTAACAGCTTCTACTTAATAACCTGAGGATTAATTTTTGTTAAAAAAAATATTAAAAAAAATAATTTATTTAAAAGCTTACTTGTAATTCCATGTAAATATCAATGTGACTGAGATTTTGAGAAGAGTTGCCTGTTTTAAAGAAATTCATAAATCCATATTCACTCAATTTTCTTTCTAGCTCGTTTTTTAAAATTGATATTTGGGTTCTTTATTCTTCTGAATTCAGCATTTCTTTATGGAGATTTTATTCTAAATATAAAATCTTTTCGTTTGCTTTTTCTAAATCAGTTTCTCTATTTGAATTGCTAGTAATTGAATGGTATTACTCTTCTTGAGAAAAATGTTATTAATTAGGTAGATTTTTCATATTTTCCTTGTTAGAAGAATTGCTATACACCCTACTTGAATTCAAAGGTTTGCTCTTAACTGGAATATTGGTGCAAATTTAATTAATAGAAAAGTTATTCTTTAGTGGCTAAGGAGGAAGCTAACTGTCAAATATTCTTTTCCTATTTGTATTATTTTAAGTTGAGACACTCATGTTGCTGCAATTATAATTTTCATTAGCGCTTGAATTGCTACGTGAATGAGACAAAAATTAGGATTAGCTTTACAAATTTTAGGCGTTGCTTAGCTTTTATTCAAAAGCTAAACGAAGATTTGACTAAACAGGGACATTTTACTTGTTATACATATTCTAATCAATTAATATAGGTCCTCCATTTTTATACATCTCAAACCTCTATGAAATTTGTTCAAGATTTTATGCAAAATTTGGTGAATGAATAGGGCCAAGCATGTCATCTCTTTATGTGTCTTATTAAAAATTGTTTAATTAAAAGAAATCAATATCAAAAATTCAAATTTTCTAGCTACTTTAAGATGATTTTTAGCTTGCACAAGAGTAACTTCTTCCGCTTCTTTAAGGATTATTTTAAATAACTAATGAATTTCTCATAGGAGATTCATCTACTTGCGTCATATTTCTTTCAAAATTGCTAGATTCACATCTGATGTTTTTTTCTTCAAAATTTCCTTCAGTTTTTATGCTCTTATGACCCCTAAATGATTAGGCATTTAGTTAATTGCCTTAGGTCTCTTTGAGCTTTTGCATCTAAATAAGAAAAAATATTTTAATCCACATTCAATCAACACTAATCGCTATATTACATGATCTCTTAGACTTAAATTGACCTTCATTTAAACAACTGCTTAATTATATGTTACGTGAAATCAATTAATACTAAAATATTTATTTATTATTTATTTAATTAATTATTGCAACAATGAATGATTGATTAATTGAAATTTATTTGTTTTTTTTGTTTATCAATTTACTTATTTACTAATTTGTTAAAAAGATTGGATGAAAGTAATAAATATTAAATTAATTACATGCAAATTGATAAAAAATCAATAAATCAATCAATCTAAATATCAAACTATTTATCTGTTTATAATTAGTTTATGATATTCTTTTTAATTTAAATAAACTTCTTGGAAATCATTTTGAATTCAAAATTGCATGCAAAAATTTAACGTATTAATTAATTTTTTTTAAACAAGTGAAGATAAATAAAGAAATAAACTAACAAATAAATCAAAAAAAGAAAATATAATGATAATTAATCTTTGATTTGATTGATTGATTGATTTTCAGTATAATTTTATTAACTTTTAAGATAATTAAAGAGAATTTGATAAATTAAAGATAATTGGTTGATTGATTGCTGATGAAATAATTTTATTTTATATTAGTTAATTAATAATTTAGTCCTGACATACATTTATTTTTTTATGCTTTCAATTAGTTGAAGGACTTATTTGTCCAGCATATTGTTACAACTCATCTATTTGTAATGAGTTTAAATGATTTTCTGCTTAGTTCGATGTATCCATTTGGTCTCTTAAATTTAAGACATCATCCATTAGTTCAGATGTCTGTTCTGGATTATTTAATATTTCTTGTGGTTAAAGTTAGGGAGATTAAGACATATTAAGTAGCTCTAAAGGCTAACTGACTATAGAAAAGAACTATCTGAAGAAATAACAAGAATCTATATTATTAATCCTAAATAGTTTATTCATGTATTCTTAAAGATCTAGCTACCTTTTTTCCTTTGGTATGTTTGTGTTAAAATTAGATATTTTAGGTGGGAGACTCGGAAGACTATCTACAATATGAGAAAATTTGTGCTCAACAAACTCATGAAGCTTAACAAACTCTTTAAATCTCTTTTCGATTTACCCTCTTCTGCTTTCATTTTCAAAGACGGTGAATCTGTAAACTGTAAACCCTTTGCTCTCTTTATCAGTCATTTGAATGAAAGAGCCGCAACTTTCAGCCCTCCATTAATAGTAATTGCATCTATAAAGATTAACAGTTCCAGTATGCCATAACTTACTACCAAATTGTTTTGTTATATAGGGGTTTAATTGGTTGGACAGTATGCTTTCTCTATGATATTCATCTTCGTTGAGTAAAATACACAAGTAAAGCTGAAGTTAAATCATTCTATCTTGTAAGGCACTAGAGTTAGTTTTTATTATTTTTGAAGGAAATTTTGGCATATTTTTAAAATGCTGCTTCAAAGCCTAATGCATTTATCTTAATTCGCTGTATCTCATTTGCAACTTAACATAGCACTTATTACTCAGATTGGTAATCTTTATTTAGTACTTCACATGATCTATATTTTTCTATTTATAAATTAATAAATAATGCATCATTATTATCTTGCTTAAATCAAAAATAAATAAATTTATTCATTTATTTATTTAATTTTCAATATAAGATCTTAATTATTTCCTAAGTACATTATTTTTTTATCAGTTCAAATTCAATGAAATTAATAAGCAAATTAAAAATATTTACCTCTTCGCTCTTATCAAAAATTACTTCAAAATATTCTTAATTTTTGTAATCAATATTGAAAGATTATGATTAATTATTTGCAGATTCTAAACGCTGATTCTATCTTTAATAATCTTGTCTCTCTTTATTTTAAAATAATTATTTTATTAATTTAGTATTTGTTTTTTAAATCTAAAAACTCTTTAAAATTATTAAAAATGTCTTTTAATAAAAAGCAAATAAATTTAATTAATTAATGGTTTATTCAAAAATTAAATTGATTTATTTTGTTTAGAAAAATTTAAATAACTTATTCTAATAAATAAGCAAATTTGGTTAACTAAAAAGAAGTATTTTTGCATTTAAAAATATTTGATTTATTGATTTTTGACAAAAAGTTAACCTGCTTGTGAAAAAAATTAATTGGTTTTTTTACAAAATAATGACAAAAATAGGATTTCAATTAATTTCTTTTGATTCATTGAAAATTAAAAGAAAAATTAACTTTTGTCTGATTGCTTTTTGATAAAGTGTTTGAGAAATAAAATAAAATAATTTGTAAAGAATTTAATTATTTTTACTTGGGTTATTGTTTTTCAATTCGAGATAGTATTATTTGAGATCCATTTCACTGATTTTAATGAATTTAAGGAAGCATGAATAATAAATGTTAGGATTTTTGCAAACAAATTTCATGAATTCTTTCAACTTGTTGCTAAGACTCTCGACTTGACTGTATTCTAAAGATATATTATTGGTGCAAAGCAGATTTATATTATTCATATCTTCTATTGTTGAATCCGTTACTGCCTCATCGTTTCTGATTTCTTCATTTAAATCTTCTTGCAATTATATAAATTCAGAATATTCTTTAGTAATAGTGTACTCTTTTTAGCTGTTAGTGATTCCATATAACTAATTCATGTTATTTGAGCCTGAGACTGTTCTTCTTGGATTAAGTATTACCCTTAACTTGAATTGTAAGCTGCTGTGCTATGTTACGAAACCAGGTAAAACAATAACATCTATTTCGTTATCAGATGGTCCCTGATCAGAATTATTATCAAACACCATCTCATCATTTGCCGGTTTAATAAGCGGAGTTTAAATCTAATTAACCTCAAGATCCCAAATTAAAAATCTCAAATCCATAAATTCTTAAATGTCTTATTTTTTGATAAATATATAGACTGCTATAATCATCTAAATAACAGCTCTACCTGTAAATGAAAATAACCTAATTAATTCATCTGTGTCCTATTTGTCCTTTTGATATATTAAAAAAGTTTAAATTATTTCAAGGTATTTAAGCTCCAAATTAAAATAAAAGTCCAATCAATCAATTAATCAAAACATTAATAAATTAATTAATAAATAAATAAATATTAATATACATTAAAAAATTAGAATATTAGTAAAAAAATTAATTATTAAATTTCTAAAGATTTTTTTGTTTGTTTAAGCTAGCTAAATGATATTATATCAAGATAACAAATAATATTTCTTTCAATTTACCTTTGTTATGAAGAGATAAACAACTATAATAAAAGAAATAACCATCTATCCAATCCAATATATTTTGTGATAAATCATAAGAGGTATTTTGGAATGAAACTCTTTGTCTTCTATATATATTTAAATAGCTCCTACAACTATAGGAAAAACCCAAATTATTGGATATATATATTAATATGATTCATTATCCATCATTAAAATGGGGATGCTGCAAAGCTACAAAACAACTAAGTTTGTATAAGCCAATATATTGAAAATTTGTAGCACTATACGATAATTTTTATACTTTTTAGAATAAGACTGCAAATTTTGTTAAGCGATTGTTTTCAAACATTATTTTCTAAGATATAGTGGAACGCAAAAGAGAAGTGAAAAAATGGGTATGAACAGCTCAATATAAAAAACTACAGCATCAGACTCCATTTTAAGAACTTATTATATTTTATTTTCTCTGAATAAATAAACTTCTTCAAACTTTTTTTGAATAGACTAACTTAGTTGCTTCCTAGTCAATTAACTTATTTAGTTCCTTGCTTTTAAACCAACTTACTTAATTTGTTTCTGCTGATTTTAGCTATTACCTTAATATCTAAAAATAATTAATTAATTTACTTTAGTAAAACAATAGCAAACAAACAAGTAATTATAAAAAAATAAATTAAGTTTTTGCTTATCAGCTCGATTATCTAATAAATCAGCAAGCAAGCAATTAAATTATTTCTTAATCAATCAATCAACTAATAAATTAATTGATTATTACTTTTTGATTGAATGCTTCTCAAAACTAAAGTGATGTAATTAATATTAGCTTTAAAAATCGCATTTGATCTATTAAGCAAACAATAGGATATTTGTATATAGATAGTGCTTATAAATTTTGCAATATGAATGAATGGTTGTAATATAAAATTTGGAATGATTTTTTATAAAAAGGCTATAATTATTTCAGAATTAAATCAATTAATTTACTTTAAACAGATGTTAAGTAATAGTGAAATTTAATATTCTCTCATTCATTAAGTTTAAAATATTATGTTGAAAATAAATCTAAATCAATCATTTAAATTAGATCGATCAATTATTATTTATTTATTTATTGTTTTCTTTTTACTTCTCATTTTATTTTTAATATCTCCTATTAAAATAACATATTTTAATTATCAAATACCTCGTATAATAAATAGATTATTTTAATCAATTAGTATATTATAAATAAAATAATATTGAAATTAAGTAATTAAAAATTATTTAGAAAGACTAATCAAATAAATATCTTAAGCCTACATAAGAATATGATATTTGTATTTATTTCAAAATACTTTTTTTAAAAATAAATAATTCAATAATTTTATTTGTTTGCATTGCTTGAATTTATGAAAACTATAAAAGAATTTTAAAAAAATCTAGTTTGTTAGAAAAATAAAAAAATTATATTTATTTTTGAGTTGGCTTAACATTAAAACTTAACTTAAGCATTTAATTTTGGCTGTTGAAATTATAAAAGTAATTAGATCTTTTTGAAGTAAAAAAAATACAATTAGAATTAATTTAATCTATTTGATATTTTTATAATAAAAATTAAGAATCTAATTTCAACTCTTGAAACTATTAAAATAATTAATTTTATTAGGTTTAAAAAATACAAAAAATATTTTAATTTTGTTTAATGTTTTTGATATTTTATAATAAAATTAAAAAACTAAATTCTTAAAATAATAACTTTTTTATAATAAAAGCAAAGCAAAAAAATTTTTTTAATTAATTTTAATCTTTTTAATACTTTAAAAGTAAAAATTAAGTATTTATTTATTTTTTCTGTACACTTAATATACTGTAAATGCTCGTTAATTAAGGCATTTTTTTCTTAAATTTTTTTTTTGGCACTTTTTTTTGGATAAAAAAGATACTTAAGGAATGCCTTAATTAATGGGCATTTACAGTATATAGAAGCCTTCTTTTTAGATAATTAGCTTTTATTTAGTTTTAAAAAATTTAACTAAAATGATTAAAAATATAATTTTAATAAAAAATTCTTTAATTTTACTTATTGAGATAAGAATTAAATTCTAAATATTTTAAAAATTAAACAAAAATAAATAAAGATTGAATTATTTGTTTCTAAGCTTACTATTTTCATTCGTTTAAAAATCATAAAGTTAGATAAGTAGAAGTATTTTTAAGATTATACTTAATATTTAATAAATATATATAATAATTTATTTAACAAATATGTTATCTGGCGCTAATTAAATACTTTGCTGTGTTATTTTTTTAATTGAAAATCTATTCTAAAACAGCAGTAGTTAATTAATACTTATCAAATGCAATGTTTTTTGATTACTATTTAAATGATCATATTAATGTACTTTTCATTTAAAAAAAGAGTAATTGCTTGATTATTTATTAATTTGCTTGACAGATTTTGTATGCCTAGTTAGTTATTTACTTTATTTAAGAATAAATAAAGTACGAAATTTATTAATTAATATATTAATAAAATCTTACAGTTGAATTGATTGATATTGCAAATAAACAAATTAAGCTATAAATAAATTATGTCCTATTTTGGAGTATAAATACCTAAAAAGCCACAAACTTCAGAGATATCTTCTAGAAAGAGGATTCGTATTTCCTAGAAATAGGATTTAAATTTATTAGAAAAAGGTAAAATACAATTAGTATGTAATGAGATTATTTAGCAAATCTATTTACAATAGATTAAAAAAACTAAAAAGAAATAACTTAATCATTTATCAGCTAAAATGATTTGTAGAGTCCAAAGGAGATAGGTATTTCATAATAATACAGCATATATGGGATAAAACAAAAACATGAAAAAGAATTTAATAGAAAAAATATTTTTAGGTATTCATTTTTTTAGTTCATTAAAAGACAAAATTCTATTTCCTTTAATTTCATATTTGGTAGCAATAATTTATCATTCTTTCTTTTTTTAAAGCAATAGCAACATACAAAACGATTAAGCACCTAGTACGAAGAACAACATCTCAGTACAGAAAATATCTAAAACAATGAACAATTTTTTCAAAGAAAATCAGCAAACAGGAGAAAAAAAAGGTTCTACCTTCTACTCACCAGTTACTCAAATTTTACAACCTAAAAACTCAGTTCAAATAAACCCTAAGAGTAAATTAATTATTGAAGAAAGTGTTTTTGTTAGTTTTATTGATTGATTTATTGATATATTCTTACTTTTTTATTAATGGAATACTATAAAATGTTTATATAAACTTTATCTTTCATATTAATTTATTTAGGAAATATTTATGGTTATCTTGTTTCACCTTAACCTAAGTAGCTTAGTAATATTTTTTAATCTTCATAGCTCGTCTTTGGTGATAACAAAGTATTTGTTAAACAGTAAACTTCTAGAGTTAGTAAAATAATATTGTTAAAAACTAACTATAAGGCAAATAATTAAATGAAAAATAAATATATATTAATCAATTAGGTTATTCTACAAAAGAAGAATCTGATCGTCCTCGCAGCTATGCTGGATATAAATGTAATAATTTTTTATTGTCTTTTTAAGAGCTGTGAAGTAATTCAAATCATAAAAATAGCATTTACCACTTTGTTAACATCGAAGAGTAGAATAGAGGAAAATGACAAATCCAATAATTAAACAAAAGCTTAACTCTCTTAGCCAGCTCCTTATAAAGTAACTCAAATTTCAATAGGATTTTCTTTGAAAAATCACTTTAAATAAAAACAAAAGTTTATAATTGGCAAAGGAAATAATTCTGAATTAGTAAGAAAAGTGATGTCAAAGAAATAGGGTTGGGTAGAATGCACTGGCCATTACGTTTATTATAATTTCAATTGGTAGTCAGTAAGCAGTTTAGTTAAGTTTGATCGGATGAAAAGCTCTGAACACCATACATACCTAGTAAATCACTTTGAATTCCATAGAGAAATAACCTAAAAAGACAGATTGATAAAAAATATAAGCAACTACTCAAAGCTCAATTAAATTAATTAATTTGACATTACTCCTTTGACTTTCATCTTTAATTTTGATTAAGACAGTTTCGATTCAGAAATGGAAGATTTTCTCAGCTTCTTTCTTTCTAAATCAAGTAATTTGTTTTTATTTCTTAAAATAAAAAAATAATTAAATAAATAAATAAATTAATATTATTATTTGATTAAATTTCTAAGCTACTCCTGCTGTAGAAATGATAGCAATAGAAATCTTGAGAAGAAAAAATTATTATCGTAACTCTTAAATGAAATCTAGCTAAATATTAAATAGTGCTCGTACTAAAATTAGCTATAACTAAGTTTCTAATCACAGTTGCTTATTCAGAGGCAAAAATATATGGATATTTAAACCTAGTGATACAAATAGAGGGAGAGGAATCAAATTATTTAATAGTGTTTAATAGCTCTTGAGTATTCTCCAAGAGTATGCAGAATCAACGATCCCAAAATCTTATAAGTAAATAAACTAAATTTCATTTTATTGAGAATTTATTATTAAATAATCATTTTAAAGATTGCTTCAATTAGAATTAAATGAACAATAAAGAATATATTTATTTTAATTTATATTTAATTATGAATAAAAATCTTAAGCAAGCTTTAAAAATAGTATTAATTAATAACAAAATCTTAAACAACAGATTAATTTATAGCTTTATAAAAGTTTAACGAAGATATTGAATTCTTAAACAAAATAAAATTAATATTTATTTTAATCTTTAAAATATTAAAACTAATAAATAGAATGGACTATAATGGAATAAAAAAAATATCCCTGAATAGGCAGTTTGTTATTTAAAAATATATTGAATAACCATTACTAATTAATCAAAGAAAATTCGATATTAGAATGTGGGCTATGATGACATATGACTTTCAAGTGTATATATTTAAGTAAAACAATATTTTTATATAATATTACTTATATTTAAATGTATTTTATAAATACTAGAGAAGGTTATATTAGGACAGCAAGTGAAAAATATGATTTATAAGAGAATAACTTTAACGATTTAATTATCCATTTAACAAATAATGCAATATAAAAAACTGACGAAAGATATCAGAAATTTGAATTTGGTAATCAGCTATCTTTCAACAATTTAGAAGTAAAAATATTATCTAAAATAAAATTATTGAGATAGATAAATTTATTTGCAAATAAATCAAAAAAAAAAAATACAAACAAAACAGTTAAATTATAGTTTTAAAAGAAATTAGTGATTTTTGAAGCATAATTTTAAACAAATTGACAATTAATTTTCATTTTATTTATCAATTTTACTTCTTTTAAATAAATCTTTAAGATAAATAAAAATAATAAATTTTTATTTAATGAAAATATTAAATAAAATAGAACTATTATTATGATTTTATCAAGTTAATATTTAGGAAATTTAATTTATTATTAAAATTTTAAGAGAAAAAAATAAATTAATTCTTAAAATAACTGGATAAAATTGGTTTTGATTGTAGTTTGAAATTAAATAAATTATTTTTTAATAAAAAACAAACTTAAAAATAATTTTTAAGGACTATTTTAATTTTTAAAATATAAAGAAATACTTCAAAGATTCAAAAATAAACTGCAATTTTAGATAAAAAATATTACCTAAAATGAAGGAATACATAGTATTTACTCTTGACTCTATTAAAAATAAAATAAACTAATTTGATAGAAAATTTTGTTTTGAAATTTTTGGATACGATTTTGTTATTGATAATTAACTAAACCCTTGGCTAATTGAAGTAAATACAAACCCATGTCTCGAGGAATCGAGTCCTCTTTTGCAGTAGTTAATACCAAGAATGTTAGGTAATAAATAAATAAATAATTAATTAATTTAAATATTAATGTTGGATATTTTATATATAGATGATGCATTTAAATTAACAGTTGATAAATACTTTCCAGTAAAAAGTGATTTTTTTAAAGAAGATGCTCTTGTAAATCCAACAGTTTATAAAGTTGATGGATATTACGACTATGAAAATATGTGGTAAATTATTTTCTTTTTCTGCTAAGATAATTATTTTATTTTAATAAATATATACAACAAAAAGGGAGTAAAATCCAAGCTTTGACTATTATTTGCTTAAAAAGAAAAAAGAAATTAAAATAAATTGAAATAAAATAAGTAATTATTTATTTATTTATTTATGTTTCAGCTTATATAAAACAGCATACATTAATATTCATATAAACAAACTAATTAAAACTTACCAATTTGATTAAAAGAAATACTTAAATAAACTACTTTTCATAGTATAATTTATTATTATTAAATTGTATGAATTTATTTACAAAGAGTAACTTATAAACCAATTTATTAAATAATTATATGTATGCTTTATTTATTTATTTATTTATTTTTTATCTAATAGAGTTTATTTTTTAAGCAAACAATAAAAACTAAGAAGTTATTTTGCATTCAGCAATTCATTCTTTCTATAAAAAATAAATTTGTAAGTGTCTTTAATTTTTAAAAAAATGTTTAATAAAAGTAATCAAGATTATTTTTATGTAAAAACAAGATAATTAGTTAATGATTGTATTTTCTCTTTCTTATTAATTAATATTCACCAAACACACTAATTAATTAATAATAATTTAGGTGTATAAATAAAAAGTTTTTTGGTTTTAAAATGTGCTGATAGATATTTTTTTAGAATATTGATAAAAATAAATTAATTATGTAAATTCTAAAATTTATTTCTTCAATTTCTCATGCTATTCTATCATGTTAAATAAATTCCAAATTTTCTAAACTATTTATTAATATTAAAATCTAATTTTTATCTTACAAAGTACAATTTATCTTTTCCTTCTTTATTGTTTATAATTCATAAACTATTTCATGCATTTACTCATATTTTTATTATCATTTTTATTTATTTATTTATAAGTATGTACTTGAAACAGTAAATATAAACAAAAACAAAATCAATTAAATATTTTATTTACTGTAAATCCTCATTAATTCTCACCAACCCTCCCCCAAACTCCAGAAGTACTTTATCAAAATTTATCATAAATAAAAATGGATTAAAAAAAAATGGTTTAGAACTAACAATTTCATATATATTTTTATTCAATTTAAACTCAGTAATACCCAATCAACTAGATTTTAATTAGGTGTTTATTTGACTATATTAGCACAGGTGCTTTATTTTAATGTAATATTGTGATTAAATTAATTAGAGCCTTTTTCATAATAATACAAAAGATTTAGATTTAATAAATTTTGAGATTGAATTAATTAGCGCCTTTTTTAAAAACAAAATACATCAGATTTAGATATAAATTATGATATTATATTGTTAATCAATAACAGAACGAAGATATATATAATAATTAATCTAAAAAATTAGCAATAAAAATGCAAAATATTGTTTCTGTGTTTGAAGAGTTATTGAAATCAGGAGAATTTCTTGTGTTAGAAAAAATATAACGAAAGTATTATCTTTATTCTAATAGCGATAGCAATTTAAAATATATTGAATCTTGGGAAACTCAAAATGTTGACTTGGATGCTATTAATAGACAGTACTTGAAGAAAAAGATTGACATCTCTACGCTTTTTTTAGAATTCAACAAATATCTTAATTCGTTAATTCAAAATATGTGCAGTCTTAAATAAGTTTTAAAAGTATTTATGGACAAACTAATTATAATCTAAAAAGGGTATTAACCACATATGGAAGAAACAAATTCATAATCAATAGAAGAATTATAATCGTAATAAGCTGAAGAGTCTGATATAGAAGGATTGTCTGAGTAATAAATGCAAAAATTTCAAGTTTTATAAATAGAAAATTAAGAAAGCAGTCTTGAAGAATAATATCCTTAAGAATTTTAAAATATAAAGAAACTGCAGAGTATTATTGATAATTATCAAAACTTGATTCTTTAATTAGTTCTTGGTGAAGACAATGTCCAAATTTAATTTAAGAATCCCCTTAGCATAAACTATTCTCAGTTTAAATAGATTAAGCTTGAAATACTTAATTTGAGTTTAAATGCAATTTATATAGCTACAGATTTAAACGAAGAATATTTAACAATCAAAGATAATTAATTTGATAATGAATTATTGTGGCTTGTTAATCAAGAAAATTTAGAATTTTCAGTAAATTATCTACAGTTAGATATTATAGTAAGTCACTAGCTAGGATGCGAAGATTGCACATATTTTTTAAGAGGAGATGTATAAAGATCATTAATATTACCAAATATAAAATCAAATTATTTATTTTTGGAATTAAAATCAGCAGTTTAACATAATTATTTGGATTAATTAGATATTATTTTTGATTCAAAAATAGAATATTAAGAGAAATTTAAGATCATGATTATAAATTAAATAAGTAATTATGATGGTGATTACGGAAAAGTTTTAAAAGTTGATTTAGATGCTTTTGAGTTACCTAGTATTTTAGATAATAAAAAATGTTATATAAATATAAATTTTGGGGAAGGAGAAAATATTTAAGAGTTATTCTTAGAAGATTAATACATTCTCATACTTGCTTATTTCATTAAAAATAAATTAAATTAAAATTTATTAAATAATTTGTCTTAGATTATATGTGATTTACTCTATATTTGATTTATTTATTTATCAATTATTTGATAATATATATTATATTATTCTAAACAAAAACAAATAAACATATATTTCAAGAAAAAACTTACTTTACTATTTCAAATATTTAAAAATTGCTTACAAAAAATAATTAAAAATGAGATGAAATTTTTTACTGAAAAATTTCCTATATTAAAATTGACATTAATTAATTCATGAGAATGAGTATGAGTATGTATGTATGTATGTATGTATGTATGTATGTATGTATGTATGTATGTATGTATGTATGTATGTATGTAGGTGTTATTGCACTTGAAATATTATTGATTAAATTTTGTATAAACTGCAGCTTAATTATTATATTAATATTCATTTTTAAAAGGCATAAATTAATTAATTAAAATACACAAAGCTTCTTTCAAATTTTGAGAGTAAAAAAATTTTTTTATAAGAAACAAACAAACAAAGAAAAATGAATGAATTATTTATTAAAATAATTAAAATTTTTTTAGTTAATTGAAGATTTTGAATACATATTTATTTGAATTAATGTTAAAATTGTATGTATTTATTTATTTATTGATATATTTTTGATAACTATAATAAAAATAATAATTTAAAATTAGTGACATATATAGAAAAATTTTCAATTAAACTTTTAATTGGAGGCTAAAATATTTTTTTGAATTTGTTGTAATTTATCCAACCTTTCTTTTGAATCTTTTCTATTTTTGAAGAAATCCAAAGCTATTTCTAGGAAGATCCAGCTTTAATTTAACTTGTTTTAGTTAAAGTATAAAATACAAAGATAATAAGCACAATTTGCTCTTAAGTAATCTAGATTCTATACTTGAACTACCATATGAGATGGACTGATTGGATTAATCAATTTCATGGCAATATCTTTATCTTAATATTCCTTGTTAACAGTGTATATCCTGAATGCTTTATCGAAGTAGACAATAGAAAGTTAGTTGTTTTAATCATACATATATACTGCAAAGTCATGATACCTTTCTGCTATTAGCAAATGATTTGATCCTAGCGCCCTAGTTAGACCATTAAGTTCACTTTCCATAACTTATTTTACACTTTCATTGGTTAGGTCTCTTTTAATCAACTTATCATCAATAAAAATTCTTGTTAACTCATAAAACAGAGGATGGTAATCATCAACTACAAACTTTATCATTTTCATTATATTCTTTGTTCCTAATGTAGTCTTATTTTTTATTTCTAACGAGATATCTTTCTTCAAACTTATCTGAATCAGATTTATCATGACTTTGACTAAATAAATATTAGGAACAATCACCTCATCTATTTCTATTAAAAAAGTTTTGTTAATTTTTTTTAGTTTTTAGTAATTTAAAAAATATTTTTAAAATTAATTCAAAATCTTTACTTTTTGTGCAAAGAGTAATAACTTTTGAAGCTGATTTGCAGCAGTTGAGATAGTCCTTTTTCTGTAAATACAGTTCAGACAAAGCGCTTTTGAGTTGGACATATTTGAAGAAAGTAAGACTCTTTGTACATTTAAGAACTTTGATATTTTATTTTATTGCACTTATTTATTGGTCAATGTACTCTTTATTTAATCTGTTGATTTCATTAGAGCTAATATATTACATGACACTAAGGCAGTCCATTGTGAAGACATAGCTTGAAACATAGTGATCAATATAATTATCTTTAGTAAATATTTATTATTGAGCTTATTTCTACTATGTATAAATTAAATCATCTAGGTTGCTTGAACCTTTTGAATTATTTTATAAATCAGCAAATTAGGTGTCTGCTTTTGTGAACAAATCTGTGGAATAAACCATATTAAGATCGCAGTGGAAGCAAATAGATTCAAGCAGTTATCCTCTCTGTAATGATTTAATCTCAAAAGATTAATCATAATTAAAATCATATTTAATTTGTTGATATAGTATTTCATGGAATTTTATAGTTTCTTCATCTCTTCCATATAATAAATTAAGAATATCAATAACAGCTTCTTTTACTAATTCATCCAATTAATTTATTTTTTATTCTCTCATTTAATTATTTGCATTTTACTGAGCTTGCTGTTGAGGTGTCAAAGCAATACCCTGATTTTATTAAAATGTTGCTTGCTTTTATCCTATTTAAAAGAATTAATGAATGAATATAAATAATAATGTTTTTCTCTAAAAGTGAGGAAAAAATAAATGAATTTACTTTATAAACTCAACTAGAACTCGTCTTAACTTAGAAATTTGTTAAATCTAAGATATATATCGCTGATAGTAAAATTAAGTATTTTTTTGAAAACTCTTGCAACCATATCAATGAGGCATATATTCTGTATAAAGGGAAGAGAAGTATTTTTTGCGATAAATCCTAAATACTTCATATTAATACCTTCCTTGTGCATGCATTCTTGTAAGCTTAAGCTGTCGATAACGTTATAATTAAGCTCATCTAAATGATATAAAAACCTCTATATGTATGTGTTCTCTAAGTATATCGATGCCTAAACTATATCTTTCACATCTTCTTCACTATCAGGACTGGAATCTTCAAAAGCATCTGGATTAAGTTGTGCGTCTAATTTCTTAAGATACTCTGGTCTAAATTGAATAGTTTTGCTTTGTAAATTTTCTGACAAATAGTTATCATTCACTGGGAATATATCTCCTACATTTTTTATATAGTAAGTTTAGAGTTTTTAGTATTGCATTTATTAAGGATCAGTAATTTGTTTCTTTAGGTTTGTGATATTCTAATTCTAATGAACTTCAGTAACAAAGCTCAAGTATACCTAGTTTTTTATTAAGCTTAAAATACAAACAGATAGATTTTCAGTAAAATTACTTAACATTTTGGTTTGTTTCCTAAAGAAAAAGTATGAGGCTTAATACCTAAATCTTCCCCAATCTTTTAAAGCAGCGGTACTATTTAAGGATGTGTTTTATATCCTTGATAATATTTATCTTAATCAAACACAGGTCCTATTTTTTCAATTTGAAATTATTAAAATAAAAAATAGTCGAAAATTTTTTTAATTTTTGAGTAAATTAAACACAACTCAATACTTTGTAAAATAAAATAAATAAATGAAAATGATACAACATTAAACTAAAAAATTTGTGAACTATCATAAAACTTTAAAATGATAAAACAAAATTAAGAATATTATCTAAAAGTATAAGCCTCCTTAATTTATTTAATTCAAATAAATATCAAAAAAGCTTGATTAAATTTATCAATAAAAATATTCTATCAACAAACAGTTAAACAATTAATTTTTAACTAAATTATTGAATAATTAATTAATAAATTTACTTAACATTTAAAATTAATTCAAACTTAAATTTGTTGAATTTTTTTATTTATTTTTTCATTATTTTTTGTCAAATTAATTAATTGAATTGATAAAATAATAATTTAAACAAATTTTTATTTTTGTTAGTGAATTTTATTATTTATTTTAACTTAAATTATCTTTTATATCAAATAAATTACCATGAACAAGCCCTTCAGCTTCAGAAGAAATTGATTGAACTAAGGCTTTAAATCCTCTGTATGTGATGATACAGCTTAAAGCTACTTTAACAGTTTATTGACCACTTGTTTTGTGATCAATATGCCAAGTGTTAATCAAATTCAATGCTTTGAATTCTGATTAAAGACTCTTTCCATGGTAATTGGAGTAAATAATTTAAGTTTCTTATTAATCTTGCATTTATTTTATTTACTCTTCCCTTTATTTTGCTTGCCTCCTATATACTCGTTATTTAATTTATTTAAACAAGCTTACTTAAAAAAAAACTTACAAATATTTGCTAGGACTAATTTAATTTTCTTTCTACTCAGGATTGTTGCTCATACTAATATTTTAAATTAAAAAATTCATCAAAAATATTAAATTATATAATAATAATTAATTGATATTATAAATTTATAGTACTAATGACATTTTAAGATTTGTGAGAAATAAATAAATAAATAAATAAATAAATAAATAAAGCTTTACTTACTTTTATTAATTTATGAACTGTTCAATCATTTGAAAAATAGGTGTTTCTTGATTGATATTTTATTCTTTATTTTTTTGATCTCTCTAATCTTAATTTAGATTAAATATTAGTATGAGTGAATTAATGAATGAATGAATAAATTAAGTAAAAAATATTTTTTCAATATAAATTATACCCTCTTCAGTTGCTATGGTCTCTTGAGTTATCCAGGAGAGCCTAATTACAAAATTATTATAAGACTTAGCCTCAACTAAGAATTCATAAGATGGAAGTATTTTGAAATTAAAATCATTGTTAGCTAGCTCGAAACTTTAGTCGTTTTTGACTTGAATTGGGATATATTTTTTCTGGCTTCCACTAAAAATGAGATCTTCTATTAGTTGCTTTGTTGCATTTTAGGCTGTTTCATTAAATGTGCCAATCAATGAGAGAAGTTCATAATTTTTTTAAAAGCTTTCTTCAATTTTTTCTTTCTTAGTTGGAGACAAGTTTATGGATTGGTTAGGATTAAATTTAGCATTTGGGCTAATATCAGATTGCAAAGACTAACTTTATTCAAAATAAAGCTAATTTGATGAATTGACCAAAAGCTATGAAGGATTTTCTACAATTTACTACAAAAGATTAGTTGAATTCAATTTATCTTGGTACTAGAGTTCATATGAGCTATCGTAAACCAATTTGTTCTATTTTCTTTGCTCTTCTTCTTCTTTTTGCTTTTTGATTCTTTCTATCTCTTCTTTTTCTTGCCTTTTTCTTTCTTCTTCTTCATAAATTTCCTTTTTCCTTTGTTCTTCTTCTTTTTTCAAAATCAACTAGTAATTATCTTCCTCGTCTTATTAAGATTTATTTGTGAGAATACTCTCCGAAGCTTTTATCTAACTTGAATCAATCAAATTTTCAAAATGCTGATTCATGCTGTACTATCTTCCTTATTGTCTCATTTACTAGTTCTTATACTGATCTTTTTCTTCTTCTTAAGACATTATTTCTCCTCTTGAAAGGATTTGAGGATTAATAAGTTTATTTCTATTTTAATTATTCATTTGGCTTTTATTTATGAAGTTGTTTATCTTATCACCCTTGTAGCTAGCCGAGGCAGCTCCAATGTCATTACTGCTTTCATAATTTTAACTTAATTCATTCTAATCAATTGATTGCATGTATTTTTCGTTCCAAGCTTCTTCTTCTATTTATTAAAGACCCTTATATGTGGGTTTAATATCTTTTTGATGCATACGAGAACTATTAAAATCATTGATATTTGGGTGAGTGTATGCGCTACTGGAACCATTAGCTGTTTTATAAGAAGTATATAGGAGCTCCATTTCTTTAGATTTTTAATCCCTCATTTCAAATTCTAAATTATCCTTTAAATACTTGGATAGAGTAACTATTTTGTTAAAAAATTCGTCTCTTTCCTTCTAAAATTTGAATCTAAAGAGCCACTAGACCTTGTTTGTTTTTTAATCTAGTTTATCTGTTTTATTTTTAGCATTTTTTGGATCATCTTTTAACACTTATATTGAGTTATTCTTTATAACTTGATAAAAAGAAATAAATTCTTGCTTCTTCTATGCAATTTCCTTTCCATATTTCTTAAATTCAATCAAATATTATTTGTCAAAAGTTATCTTAAAAACATTTGGTCTCTTCTTTGTGCGATTATTTTCATCTTCTTTTTCTATACTCTCAATATTTAGAATTTAAATACCCTATTTAGGATAAAAGTTCTATGGCAGCTGCCTAGAATTGTAAAAATAGGGAGGAATATCAGAATAATAGCACAATAAGTGTTTATTTAATTCAATCAATCTCTCATTAAATTTAATACTATTTTATGAAAGTTTTTCGACAATATCAATAGTTTCAAAATCTTCCAAATTGAATTCCTACATGCTCATTTTAGTAACCAAGTACTTGATATGTTTCCTCTTAAAGAAATTATCTAAAATTACTTAATATTTATTTAATTCTTGTAAGTATCTATCTATTTATTTCTACCGTAGAGTAATTATCTATCTTTTTATCAACAGACTAATATTAAATTAATTAATCAATAAATCTAAAAAAAATTAATATTTCTCAACGAATTAGCAATTTGTATACATTTTTCAATACATTCATAGAGTAAAAAAATTCTTACTTATTAAACATGAAAGACATTTATTACATTTAGTTCTATTATCTGCAAAATATTAAAATACTTAATTACATTAAAACAATTATTGGTAAAAACAAGCTTGATATTTTTATGTTTTCACAAAAAAAAAAAAATTTACAATTAAAAAAATAGATAGATAGATAGATATCTCTTCAAAAAATAAATTACATTCTAAATTAATTGGATATATTTTTATTTATTTGGCAAATCTATCTTATAAATACAATTGATTTAATAATCTATGGTTATTTTTCTTACTTAATTATGCAATTATCTTTAACTTACTATCTTACTTTCGAAAGCAATCAAAAGTGAATTTAAAAATATTTTAATTTACTACATTAAATTTAAAAATATTTTAACTTAAATTTCAAAAATGTTAACTCAGATAAATAGAAAATTTGTTATAGTGATATTAATTAATTAATTTATAACAAATAAATTTTTCATAACTTTTTAAAAGCTATTGTTTTATAAAGAAGTTTATTCTTCTATCTTAAAACTCTATTGTGTTATGTTAAAACTATTTTGAGATTTCCTTCTGGAAAATAGTATTGATAGTCTTTTTATTTTTCAAAGAGCCATGGATTTTCATACGGTAGCTTAATAATAGTAAAAGCATCTACGTTAGCTAATGAATTTAGATTTTAAAAACTTTAAATATCATGTTTAAGTCTGATTTATTATTAGATTTTTTTATGCACCCTAAAGCTAGTTCTCTAATTAATGCCATCTGCTTAAGATACCTCATATAAATTTTCTAGAACAGAACCTCTTGGTAAAAACTGATTCTAAAAATTCGTTTGAAATAAAAAAAATTAAATTGTTTTTTTAACTGATAACAAAAATTAATGCTTAAATACAAATTAAAAAAATTATTAGTCCATTTGTTTTGCTACTTAGCTTATTTTTTTGTTAATTAGCTGAACATTTTTATTGGGATATCTTAACATTAAATAGAAAATTGTAATGATAATTAATAATTTACAGATTTTTCTTTGGCATTTTCATATTGCAAGCTCAAATATTTTAAATTTTTATCTCCATCCTATATTGTTTTACTCTTTCTAGTATTTTTATCTTCTTTTATAAGACTATCAATTATACTTTTTCGATGATCATTTTAATTAATTAGTACTAAGCTTTACTCATCACTTTGCTTCTCGTTTTCTCTTCCATCACTATCTGTTTCGCTGCTACTTTCTGCTAAAACTTAAATATCTTCATCTAAAGAAACAAAGTGAATTTTTTCAAAATTATTAATATACTGAGTAATCAATTTTATTTAAGACAAAGTATTTAAACTTTTTATTAGTTTTCTATCAAAAGAAGCCCTTTTTTATTTCACATTTTAATAAAATTTAATCTTATTTTAAAATTCATTTTTATCAAAATGCACTTAGGGACACTCGCTTGTTAAATGTTTGAAGTTTTTGCAAACAGAGCACGAAATATTTATCAGCTAATAATTATTGTAAAGCAAGATATTATCTTTAATCAAATTAAACTATTGCTAATCTTTTTCATTATCTTTAATAATACTTAGAAATACATCTCTTTGTATTTTAACTATTGATGTGAATGTAATTGCCTTTGCTTATAAATCACCTGCTTATCCTGTAAAAAAGCTATATGTGCCAAATACTTAATTACTAAAAATATTGTCAACTACTTAAGAACCAGTTTAGTTTGATGATTGTTTTGTTAATTAGACTAGGAATTATTTATTTTTTAATATAATATAATTAATTATTCAAAATAATTTAAAAACAAACTTACTTTCTCCATCAATCACGAAAATAAGAGAATTGAAATCAACATTTTCTTAGCTAAATATAACTTGGTTTGGCAAAAAATAAGCTTCTTACATCTATAAAGCCAGTTTCTCTTTAGTTTCTTCACTAAAATTTATTTTTATGCATTCAAATTGGCTTAATATTCTTCCAAAATATTCTTTTTATAGTTGATTTTTCAAATTAATAGACAGTTTATCTAACACAGATTAATTTTATTCTTCCTCCTTCTTGTAATTTTTCTAATAGAAATATTCTATATCTAAATTTATAACTCTCTGCAAATCCCTTTTTTGTTTTCCATAAAAAATATGATTAAATTAACATGTACTTTTTTTCATTAACTAAATGATCAATATTAATTAACATATTCCAATTTTAAATAGTTATATTAACACTATCGTTTATTTCATTCAGTCTTTCGTTGGTTAATGAATAAATATTCATCAAATGTAAACTCTTTAATTTAAAACATCTAAAAAAATTAAATTTTCAAAAATTAGTGTCTCATATTTCGGTATTTTAATTTAAGGCCCTCTTATAAAATTAGAGGGTTTAAAATTAGGATGCACAGTAAATAAAAAATTTAAATTATATAAGCTAACTATTTATCAATCTATCTACTTTTTAATTTTTGTAATCTTTCTTGGAAAATTAATTTGAATATTGATTAATTAGATTTATATAAAAATAGATAAAAATTATTTATTTATTTATTTGTGTGTTATTCAATAGAATATTTTATTTATTTATAATCAAACTTACTTATTTATGGATCTTTTTCTCATGTATTAATTGATAATGTTTATATCTTTTCTCTGATTTTGCTCTTCCTCATCCTTTTAAGCTAAGATATCACCAATAATATTAATAAAATAGCCAAATATAATGGTAGAAAAGAGCATGATAAAGGATGTGAAAAAGGCTTGTAATGGAGTGTAAACTACATTAGAACCAGTTGTCATCAATGTTAGAGACCAGTTTATTGCCTCTAAATATAACTTCCACCAAACAGGATCATCTGTAGTAAATCCTGTAGAAAACCAAGTTTCTATATGTAAAAAATTTTATTCAATTAGTCCAATCAAGTAATAACTGCAAGCTATTAAATGAGCAAGTAAAAAGAGACTCAAAATCAAATGAGTAAGCTATACTAAATAGTAATATTTCTAAGCACTGATACATATTTATTCATAAATCATTTTATATTCTTTACCAACGTTGTGTATTTTAATGAAAGAAATTCCCTTCAAAATAAGATTTAGGCTATTCTATATGTAAAATTAAATGATTAGAGTAAAGAGAGGAAGAACATCGTAAATTAAGTTGTCTCTGAAGTATTTTATGAATATAACTTTTCTATCTGAAAAATATTCAGTCTGAATATAAACAGAAGTGTTTAATTTGATGAGAATTTCAGCTATCTATAGACAAATACCTACTTATATGAAAGTTTGAGTAATATGGACATCAAAAATTATGTCAATAGACAGTAAAATGTAAAACAAATAATTCAGAAAGCAAAATAACAGACTGAGAAAGAAAACAACAGAATTTTAGGGATTGAAAGGCGGAATGTACTTTAAAAAATTGAATTAGCTTTCGCCTACACATTAAAGTAACTCTAAGCATGTTCGTTTTGAGTTAGTCCTATTAATTTGATCATTTATATCGCTTAAATCGTTAATAATTGATTAAATTTGATTGTTTTTTAACAAGTTAGTTCTACCAAAAATAGTCTTATTATAAAAAAAGTTCATTATTTTTTTGCGAATTTGAGTTAGCTTTAACAAGTCTTTTTTGAATTAAAGCGTCCTAGATAAATCTTATTTTACATCAGGCTTTCTTTATGCTTTTGCTATATAAGAGCCTCTCATTGATGATTGAACTGATTTTCTATTTGAATCGTCGTTAAAAGTCATTTACCTGTCATCATTAACAGTAGTGTAATGCTTATTTTAATGCAAATTATTTTTTTGTTTTGTTTGATTTTTATCTTTACTAACATAAAAACTCTCTGTTGTTACAACTGAGTTAGTGATAAGCTAATCCATTTAGCTATTTTTATTTATTTGCTCAACTTTGTCTTATTACAAACTAGTTTTACCTTCTCGACTTGAATTATGGATCTAACATTCATTAAAGGTATTATCTTTTATGTTATTTGACTGTCTGTATGTTGTAAATATTTCGCTATTGCAAGACTCTTCAAAATGGTCGCATACTTTCTTCAGCTAAGTATTCTCTTCTATTTAATCTGTTAATCTCTTTTTCTAAAATTACTAATTTTCTATAAGATCATCGCTTATCCTCAACACGCTTTTAGACATTTCTAATACTAAATATTTATATAAATAAATAAAGGGTAGTCTATTAATTAAACCTTACAAAATTATTACCTTCAAATATTAAAAGTGATTTTAATCTTTTAATTATTCGTAATTAACACTAAAATAGAGAACTTTGTTTTAATTATTTATTTTATTTATTATTATTAAAACGAGAAAAACTTTCCTATTATTCATTTTATTTAGAATCTTTTTGTATACTATACTTATTTTAATTTGCATATTATCTATTTTTAACTAGGCAATGTTTATTAGCCAAGTAAAGCATTAAATTAAGACTTTTAATTTATTAGAAGAGATTTAAAAATTTGAAATAGCAGAATTCATTTTAAATACAACAACTAAAATTAATTGGTCAAAATTTTAATTTAAATATGTAATTTTTTTACTTAATAAGAATAAATAAAATGATTAAATTTTTTCATAATTTAATTAATTTTTCTTTTAATAGCAAATAAAATATTTAAAAATGAATTAAATAATGAATGACAGACTGACTGACAGACATACAGACAATAAATAGTTAGGTAGAAGTTAGTTAGTCATATAGAATTATACTATTTTTAATTTTCTCCATTCACTTACGTAGCTTAGAAGTCTTAAGCTTCCTTACATTAAATCTTATCTTTTGATTGTACTCTGAGATAATTTTATAAGAATTTCCATATGGAAAATAAATATCGTAATCTCTTTTCTAATCAATTTCAATAATGGATTGTTGATTATTTTTATTATTCTAAATATTTTCGCTTGCAAATAGCTTGTCTTGACCTTGAATTACTTTATTTATTTATTCTTTTGTTAAGTTTTTTAATAAATCTTCAATTCTATCTATCCTTTAATCCAAATTCATTGGATAATAAATTTACTAGTTTTACAAATAATTTAAGTTAGCAACATCTTTGATGTTTAAGTTTTGCTAAGAACTTTAAATTTATTAGCTTTAATAAGGATAATCTAAATTCTGTGACATGATCGCTTATTGGTCCTACTTTTAATACATAATACATGAAAATAGAAAAGTCTAAGCCAAACACTTATCAATTTATTTTATTAAATGCATTTTAAAATGTTTTCTAAATAAAAAATGTACTCAAACAATGTTTAATAATAAAATAAAAACAATTTAATTTGTTTTAATAATTTTGTAAAAGATTACGTTGGATTTCCTTTCCTTAGTTGTATATTCTTAAACATTTTCATCATCGATATTTTAATTAATAGAAACATTTGTCCTATTTGGATTTTTATATTTTTATGTTGACATTTATCTCTGTCTTTGAATCTGATATTCAGAATTCTAAACTTTTTAATCATCTTCAAAATCCTCAATTTTACTTTGAGTGCAGGATCGTTGAGCGTCGCTGCTACATCTGTATTATTGATCTAAGTCTTTACTCTGAATTGTACTTAAAGCTAAAAATCGTTCTCTTTTAGGACATAATTGATTTTAATTATTTTTAGATGTATTTTTTTAATGTTCTCTTTATTTTTCTTCAACAAGGGGTTAGTTCATTATTGCATTAGGCTATGCTTTTTTCTTTCTATCCCAATCTTGTCTTATTTATTTTTAATTAAGGAAAAAATTCTCTTTTATTGTGTAATCAGATTTATCAAAGTGGACTAAAGGGCAGTGCTCCTATTAGTGTTTATTTTTAAAGCAAACTTTACATGCCAATTTTATAACTTCATAGTCTTAATACAAACCTACTTTTTCTCTAATGCTGCAAAAAACTTACAAGTCCTTTTCATTTTATCTTATGGTTTCTAAAAATTTATCTCTTTGTATTGTTAAAATTCGTGTAAAATCACAAGCCTAGTATATCATTCCTTCATTTACTCCTCCAAAAAATTATACTTCTCCTAGCACTTATTCCTTACCTACAAAATTATTATCATTAATATGGGCTTACTCGTAATCATATTCACAAACTTATCTGACTAACTTAACTATTCGTTTAATTATTAAATTTAACTTTAATCAATTTATAATCTTTTATAAATAATATATTTAATGTACCTGATCCTTCAACAATGTAAATTAACTTGTTGTGTGGTTAGCTTATATTATCATTTATCACCTAACCTGGTAAATAAGATTCTTCTTCAATTACCATTGAAAGCTTTTAAAGAGTTTCATGACTAAAATTGCATGAAAGGAATGGTATTTTATCTAAAATTTTTCCGAAATATTGTTCCTTTAAATCATGAAGTAAATTATTTGAGATTTTAGATAAAACCTATTGATTAAGCTCATCATCCTTCTTGTAATTATGATGATAGTAGTATTCTAAATCTAAATTAATTGCTCTCTGAAGAGTTCTTTAAGAAAGAAATAAGAAATAAAGTTTATAAAGATATATTTTTGTATAAATTTTTCAAAAAATAGATCAAATTTTATATAACTAATGAAAGATAAAAATTTTTGCTAAACAAAATGTTAAAAATGTATTAAGAAATACTTATTTTACAAATTATTATATTATATTTTCACCCACCTTCACCCTTAGTGGGAGTAAATAATTTATTTATAAGTGGATGAAAATAAATATAGGAGGATTTAGTAAAATATATGAAAAATATTGAGAACTTCGTTAGGAATTTTTAATTAGTATTAGAAAATAATTGTCAATAATTAAAGAAAGATGATATAAATTAATTGATTTACTTGCTAATTTATCTTTTTCTCATGTACTTGTTGATTTAATTAATATCTCTTCTCTGCTTTTCTTCTTCTTAATCTGCCTCTGTAAGTATTATGCCAATTATGTTAACTAAATAACCAAATATAATTGTTGTAATTAGCATTATAAATGATGTGAATGATGCCTATGAAATTGTTTAAGCTACATTAGATCCGGTAGTCATTAAGGTAAGTGACCAGTAAAGAGAACAAACATACAATTTAATCCAATTCTTATCAGCAGCTATGCCTTCATCAAACCAAGTTTTTTCTTCTCCAAAGTAATGCAGCTCCAAAACTCCAAGTAAATACCATAAGCAAGCTATAATATGAGCGATCATGAAAAGTTAACACATTAATTTTACTATCTGAATGATATAATAATTTTCATATTAAATGCAAACAACTGTTTATATCTCTCTTAATTTTATGTTTATATTTTTTAGCTTTATGAATTATAAGATTTTGAATGCGAAAATAAGTTTTGTTTACTGCTATGGAATTAGTATCAAAATAAAAGGTATTATATCATAAAAAGCATACCTTTTAATGTAATTGAGTGCAATAACCTTCCTACCCTAAATTAAGTTACTCTTTTAGTAAATAGCTGTATTGAGCTCAATAGAAAGTTACAAAAGCCAAACAATGTACATAATATTATATATATCAGATCCAATATCTAAATCGACTTAAAATGTGATAAGTATAGACGAGAAGTAAAAAAATAAGCAATTTATTAAGCAAAAGAAGATATCCATGGCTATTTTCAAATTGCTTTATGGATGAAACAAAGGTACAAAAGTTTTGTTTTAGAATTGTTTAAATGAAAAGCAAGAATAAATTTTGGCACAGCATTACAAATAAAAGCTCTCCCTTTCGAAAAAATTATCGCTGATATCATTGATAAATTTTCTAATTTTTTTATTACTTACCCTCAAATTTTTATTAATTTTACTTTCCTTATTTGTTAAATTCATTTTCAATTTTAAAAGAATAGGTAAGACATTCTAACTCTAATTCTACTCAACCTTCTACTTATTTTCTTCAGTAATTGATACTAAATTCTCTTCCCCTCTTAATGAAAAGTATTTATTCATTGAATTGTCAATTTTAACATGCTTTTCTGTAAATTTTTTTTAAAAAGACTCATTATTTTGACTTATTTAAAAATTATTTTTCAGCTCAATAATGTCAGTAGATTTATCTATTATTTAATAATTAATTCAAATAAAATGATATCAAAAAATTATATAATGAGACAATTTTTATAAAAATAGTTAAATTAGTCATTAAAACAGTTTCAAAATAAACAAATACTTTAAATGGAGTTATTCATGATATTTATAGAGGGCATTTTAGAACGCTATTCATTTATTTGCAAACCTAAATTAACATTAAGCTATTAATGTTGTGCTTGTTAAACTATTGTCAAATTTGGTATTTAATCTCCTTCGCTGACAATGCTTTCATCTAATCTTTGATTCAAAGTATCTAATTTAGAGTCTATGACCATACTTTTTTACAACAATTTAAATTTATTGTGAAAACTTTAGTTTTCTTCAAAAATTTCCATTTATTTAATGAATTATTTGTTTCTTTATATGTTTACTTCTACTTCCCTAAATTAATTAACTTAAACGGTACTTTTTTAACTTGTTATTTATTTTTTAGAAGCTTTTTGTATGGTTATTCAATTATTCATAAAAATTAGTGTAATAAGCTTTTAATTCATTGCTTTTTCTATTAATGAATATTGATGCTATAAAAATTATTACCAATATTTGTACATTTTTCATTTATAGAAGCCAAAGTAGTGAATTTAGATAAGTATTTTATATACATAAAAACTGATGCATTATTTGATTTAAAAATATACATATTCATGCATTAAATAAATTCAAGTCTTAAAAAAAAGTCAATGAGTTTTACTTAAATTAAATATGATAGTAATTAAATTTAATGAACTTGACTAATTTTCAAAAGCCTTTTCGTGATATTCTATACTTTTTCTCTTCTAAATATTTTAACTAATTTTAATATTTATTTAGATCTGTTATTTTTTAACTCTAAGCATGAAAAAAATAATATTTCTACATCAAAATAAAATATTTAAAAAAATTTATTTAAATTGCAAGTTAAAAAAATAGAAATTTTAGAGAATTAATTTTAAAAATAATAAATAAATAATTAAAAAATATTTTTAAAAACTCTAAAATAGTTCTTTAGGCATTTAACTAAAAATAAATAATAAATTAACTTAATTATTCTTTCAATACAATTAATTAATTAAAATAAATAAATAAATAAATCAGTTTTAATTTATGTAAGCTATCATTTCTTTTTCCTTTTTAATATTTTAATAGCATTTTTCCTAACTTTTTAGTTATAATTTAATAGGATCTTTTCCAGATTTCCATTAGGAAAATATATAGTGTAATCTTTCTTTAAATCAAAATCTAATAAAATAATGTTATCGATAATTGAATTTTATGTATTCCCTCTTTATGAGTTTTAATTTATTTACTTTCCTAAAATTAATTGCTAACCTGAAAATCCTTTTAGTATGTTTTCTAACTTAGAAAATTTTAGTAAGTACTATTAGGTAATTGCTTTTATGATGCCCTGTAAATTTGATTGAATAGTTTGATTTTGCTAAACTCCATGAGCTGTAGAATTTTCCATTAACTTGCTTACAATACTTGTTTCCTAATTATATTAAATAATAAATAAATATCATCAACAATACAGTTGTAATGATTACCTTTTGTAACTTTTCTTTAATAGAATTTTCTGAAGTGTTGCACTCATCATGTAGGAAATTTGATAATTGGCTGTCTACATTTAAACAAATTTATTATGAATTCCTTTTCTTAATAAGAGTTTTCTTCTTCTTCTTTATAAGCTCTGCACTTAGCGACTTGCTTTCTTCTTCTTCTTATTTTATTTAGCCAATTGATCTTGCTGTTTTCATGTTAAAATTACAATTTTCTACTTCATTTTCACTCTCAAGAAGACCTTCTACTAAACTTACAGAATGGTTAAAATAAGGTGAAGTTACAAAAAATTCTTATACATTATTACTCATATTAAATAATTTGCAAGCATCTTCTGTTTAGTATTATCTAACTAGCGTATTACACTGATATTTATATTTTCGATCGTAATTTTATCTTCTTTACTTTAAATTCAGGATATAATTTACCTTAACTTTATAACTTTATTTATCAAAATGAAGCAGTGGGCAGTCATATTGTTAATGAACTAAACCGTTACAAATATCGCATTTAATTTTGATATCTTCGAAATTATAGTTAAACTTTATTTTGTCTTTAATACTACAAAAAATTTGCATATCCAATTCATTTTACTTTACTATTTCTAAGAATTTATCTCTAGGAATAGACAAAACTTAAGTAAAATCAACTACTTTAAAGGTAATTTCATCCTAAATACCTGAAAAAAAGGCTATTTAGCCTATCACTTTATCCTTACCAAAAGTATCTATTACAAACCCAGTGCTAGAATTATCAGAACAAGATCTTACAAGTTCAACTTTTTAAAAAATATATTATTCAAACAAATTTAATAAATAAATAAATAAATAAAAAAATTTACCTTAGCCTTAAATAATATAAATCAATCTAAATTCATCATAGTTTTGATAATTATTAATAACTTGGCCTGGAAGGTAGTTTTGTTCTTCTATACAAAATAGTAACTTTTATTATGTTTCTTGACTGAATTATCCTGTAATAATATCTATTTTTTTCAACAATCTACCAAAATACTCCTTTTTCAAATCCTTTAGGAGATTTTCTGATATTTTAGAAAGAACAACTTAATTTTGATCATCATTTTTTTTGAAATTGTGGTGATAGTAATATTCTAAGTCTAAGTTTATTTCTCTCTAAAGATTTCTGTTGGTAAAAAAAAAAAGAATAGAAATAATTAAAGAAAAAATGAATTAATTAATATTTACTTGCTTATGAGTCTTTTTCTCATGTATTTGTTTATTTGATTGATATCTCTTCTTTAGTTTTCTTCTTCTTAATCAACTTCAGAAAGTATAATGCCAATAATATTTAGTAGATAACCAAATATAATCGTTGTAAAAAGCATAATAAATGAAGTAAATGAAATTTAAAGCACTGTATGAGCTTCATTAGAGCCTGTTGTCATCAAGGTAAGTGACCAATATAGAGAGCAAATATATAACTTTACCCAATTTCTATCAGTAGCTGCTATACTTTCATCAAACCAAGTTTATTCCTCTCCTATATACTCGAGCTCTATATATCCTACTAGATACCAAAGACATGCGATAATATGAGCGATAACAAAAACCTTCAAGACCAACTTAACAAGCTGCATCATATAATAATTTTGAATTAACATACAGATAGATATTTAGATATCATTCAGCTTCTGCACTACGTTTTTTAATTTAAAAAATTAAAGAATCTTAAAAAATTTTCTTGCTTTATAGTATTAAGGTTGTACAAATACCAACAAAAAAGCTAATAAATCCCATAAAGCATATTCTTTTATATAAAATCTAGCGATTGCCTTTCTATTTTTGATTAAATGGGTTTTCTCATAAAATGATGTGTTTAGTTTTATTATTACTTAAACAACCCATATTATGTACATAGTATTGTATATCTCTGATTCAAATTCTAAGTTAACTTCGAATATAATTAAAATTGAAGAGAAAAAGAAAAATAAGCAATTTATTAAAGAAAAAACAATATCTAATACAAATTTGAGGTAGCTTTGTGGATTAAATAATGGTATCTTATTTATTTTTTAGAAAACCAACTTTTTAAATTAGTCTATTAAACAACAATACTTTGTAAAAAATTTGTTCTTTTGCTGCTGTAAAATATCACTTTTGTCATTAATTAACATCCTTAGCTTTGGATTCTATAGATTAAAGTTTTTTCCTCCATAAGTCTTTTCTCTGAAGAATTTCTTCATTTTGCTTTTTATTTTGGACAAAAGCACAAACTCTTTCGATTACAAAAGGCCCTTTGATGGATCATTTTTTGATTAAAAATAGTTTAATACTTAAGTATTTTTAGCTTTTAGTTTATTTGCTTTAGTTTATCCATTTTCATAATCTGTTTATTCCATAATTTTGCTGTCATTATTAAGTAGTTAATTATGTATATGATTAACAAATTTAATGCTATGACTATGGCTCTTATTATTAGCTATATTAGATATAATTCAATTTAAAAAATAAATAATAATTTCGCAAATTTAAATTAAAAATGCTTGTTTACTCTCATTAAAATTTTAGTTCAAAAAAACTGTCTAATTCTACTCGTCATATTGAGAAATTATGTTTGAAAATTATTGAGTTTAATTATTTTTTTGATTTAAAAAATCCATTGGAATTTAATCTAGCTCGCTTTGGCAAGATTCCTCAACCCTCTAGTTCAAAACATCTAACTTGCTATCTTTTTCTAAACATTTTTACATCTGGCTTTTTCTTTTATTTATGAAATCATAGTTTTCTATTGGATCCATTTATTCAGATATACTGAATTATGTTAATTAATTAATTATTTAGTTAGTTCTACTTTTTTTATTACTCTATTCTTTAAATTAAAGAAAAATTAATTATTATCAAATAAATCAAATACAAAAAAATATATATTTATTTATATTTTTTATATTTACTTCTTTAAATTATACATACAATTTATTATATTTTTGTTAAATGGATAACTTGTAACAATTACTCTTCCATCATATTACGATTAAGTCTTTAAAGAGTTGCTTCTATTAAAATCAGAGTCTATTATTATAATTCAAAATTTAATTATTTCATATTGACTATTATTTATAAAATCTGTTGTTAAAATTATCTAATAAATTAATTAACATGCTAAAAATGATTAATTAAATCAAGTGAAAGTTAAATATTAATTAAAAAAGAAAATTATCATATTCATTTATTTAAATAAATAATATTTAAAAGCATTTTTTCTAAATTTTTTTCTTTCTAAAATTAAAAAAATTTACAATAAATAAGGTTTTACACTCAAATAATTTAATTTAAAATTATACATAATGATAAAGATCTATTATATTTTGAGTAAAAAGCAAATTGAAAATTAAATAAAAATTTAGATTATTTCATACAATATAAATTTTAATACATACTAAAAAATATTATACTTATTATTCCATTTACTTAGGGGTATTAGAAAGTTCGTAGTGGTTTACATACCACTTTTTATAAACTCAATTTTTGGGAACCCATAATTTTTGATTAAGAAATTGATAATATATAGTGTATTTTATATATATATATAATTTGATACAAAATTCATCGAGATCAACACAATAAAATGGATGATTTATCACATAATCAAATTTGATCAAAATTTAAAATAATAAAAATTATCACTTAATTTTAAAAACTCTTTTGAGGAATATCTTTTGAAAAAATAGAGAGAATTAAAACAAGGAGAATTATGCATTAACTTGAGATAAAGTTGGTTAATAGTTAATTTATTTTCTTCTGTTAAAAATGTAAACAGTGAATACTTTTAATCAATTATTACTTCTTTTCTAAATGAATTGATAAATTTTGATCTTGAAAAAAGTTTGATTGCTGAACAAAATAAAGATGATTTGAATTATCTAGCAAATTAAACTTTTTCAATAAACCAAAATAAAATATTTTGGAAAATTTTTATGCTTAATAACAAGCTACGAACTAGAAACAAAGAGAAAAACTTCGAGATAAAGACATAACTAGAGAAGATCTGTTTTTAATGGAAAAAATAATCTAATTAAAAGCAAAATTAAGCGAATTAAGAAAAAAATTGGAAGAAAAAATTACAGTTTAAAAACAACAATTGGCAATTACAGAAAGCAGAGAAGAAGAAGAATAAGACTAAGTAGACGTAGAAGAGTAAAAACAATTATCCGATAAAAAATCATCTAGTCAAATTTCATCTTTTTAACAAGACCAACCATCTTAAAAAAAAAATAAGTATGAAATGGACGTATTGAGAGGCACAAAAAACATTTTCACTATCCCTTTAGAATCAGCAAGCGAAAACACTATTCCTCATTTAACAAATGTTGTCAAGATAAATGAATAATTTAGTATGTTAGAAGTTGGCATGTATCCCAAAGATTGGATCTTTGCATAACTTGATGGATTTTCATAATTCTCATACATGTATTTTTACAAATACTATTTTGATCAACTTTTCTTAAATAAAGAATTAATCTAACTGATTGATGGTGAATATGAAAAACTAAAGAATCATCAAGATTTAAATCCAAAATTTTACCAGTTATTTAACAGCTATTTTTCAGAAAACAGCTGGAGAGAAATTGTAAATAAGATAAAAACTAAAGAAAGTTTTTTCTAAGTTATTATGGACTATTTTGAAAATTAGGCACATGCATACGCATCAGCTCAATATGCTTCTTTTACTTAATTGATTCAGAACGAACCAAATAGTTAATAAGCAAAGTGTTTTATTCAAACCATAGAAACTATTATGAGAACAAATGATTTTCTCTTATAAGGTTCAGATGCTTTAGGTTTCTCCAAAATTATTCATAATTATTCTAACAGTTTTTAGAAACATTATGTTGTTGGCAGTAATGAATAAATAGCTAACTTGTTGATAACAAAATAATCAATATTGTAAGAAAGGATGAATACTTCTCAACAAGCTATGAAAGGTTTTTTCAATCCATAAGAAATTATGAAAGAATATTACGATATGCAAGAAGAACGTTTAAGATTAGAAGACGAACTTTCACAAAGATAAAAAAAACTTTTGCAAGAATAAGAAGAACTTTTGCCAGTATAAACAAGTTTAAAAGGATAAACAAGTTTACAAAGAAAAGATCTCTTGGAGATTACTTATCCAACTCTTGTTTAGTCATAAATGAAAATTTTACCTTAATCCCAGAATGATCTTGATTCTTCAAATATCATTTAGTAAATAAAAAGAAGTAAAGAATCTATTTAAGTTGTCCAAGTTGGTTAATGTTATTATTCAAACGATGAAAAAAATATTTATAACATAGGAGTTGTAATCAACATTAACAATCCAAAAATTTTTAAAATGTTGCTTCCAAATAAAGATTCTTGGAAAAACATTCATCTTGTCTCTGCGACAAAACAAGAGAAAATACTCTTCGTTAATTGCGTTAAAGATTATTTCAACAACCCAAACACATTTAAGCAATACGATTGTGAAAAGATTTTTTATCGTTCAGAAATGGACGATTAAAAATTTACCAGCCTGATGAACAATTCTGTATCCTGTGAAGAAGAATAAAATGGTGTTTTAATTAGAAAATACGAAGGAGAAAAAATAATAATAATCAAGGATTCCACTCTTAAAAGAAAAGGCATGATCTTAAAATTGGAAAACAATATTTAAGAAAAATAAAAATTTGATTAGGCTAAATTTCCAGATTTTAAATCACTATTATCTAATTGTGTAAATAAAAATACATCAATAAATTAAATAAAAGAATTGACAGATCCAACAAAAATTATGAAATTAACTTATGCTAAAGTAATCGATTATCATAACTTATTTTCTGTTACCGACTCTTTAATTTCTAAACAAGAAATGAATAATTTTGAAAATCAAAAAAATATGCCAGAAGAACAATTTTACTAATAATTTGATAAGATGGAAGATTAACTTTTGACTAAAGAATAAATACAGTAAGAATTATCGATCTAATAAGAAGAAGAAAAAGAAGAAGAAGAAAGAAAAGAAGGAAAAAAAGAATAAATAGTCGAAAGATAAACAATAAACAAAGCCAAACTTTAAAATTAACCTTAAATTGTTGGAAATAAAACAATTAGAACAAAGGAAATTTCAGCTATAAATGATTTTTCAAATAAATTAAATTGTTGTTATCTCGCCGAACCAATAGTCAATGCTTTTAAGTAGATGAGCACTGGCTTGCTTTTGGAAAATAAATATGTATTTTATTTCGGCCTTAAAAAATTAATAACAAAGATAATTGGTTCTGTTTGCCCTCCTATAGAATCAAAAAATCACACAAAATCTAAAGATTTCAAAAATTTTACAGAATTTATAAGAGCAGTTTTCTTTGGTAATACTTCCTAAAGATAAAAAGAAATAAATGCTACTGAAATAGATAAATTAAGATCTGTTCTAATTTAACAATCTAGAACAGCTCTGAGATTATTTAGCTAATTGTACGGAGTAGAAATAAACAATTATTTATGTAAATAAATTTTTGAATGTCTTCAGTATTCTTAAATTGATACCTATACGAAAAAACACTATGATCGTTTATAATTGTCAGGAATCAATACTGTATGGAAAGAATTATTTTCCGTAAAAGAGAAAGATGTAGAATTATTTAATAAAACTTATGCAAAACTTTTAATTTACACAAATGTTGTTGCATAAATGTGTAATAAATCTTAAAATGATGAAAATAATTAGGCTTTCTTAAGCGAATATTCCCAGAGAATGATAAAAAAATTGTCATTGATTTTATTCCCTCACAGAAGATCAAACAGAAAAATGAACAATATTGATCTTGTTTAATTTTTCATAATATCTGCTGATATTTTTGCTTTGTTGTAAGGCTTCAACAATATTAGAGAAATCTTTTATGAATAAGCAAAGATGCTAGAAGACAAGGAGTTCAAGAAAATGTTAAAAAGAGGATAAATGCTACCAATAAGAATTAATAAATATTTCTACTTATCTATGTTTAGCAAATTCAAAATAAAATTAATAGATGGAGAAAATTATTAATTTCCATTAATAGATGGAAAACCCGAGAGAGACCCAAAGTATAGAAAATTACTTAAAAATTAATCTCACTCATAATCGTAATAATCTGAATAATCGTAATAATCTCAATAATCATAATCTAAATCTAACGTTGGAAAATTCGATTTAACGAAAATTATCGGGCCAAATAAAACTGGTAAATTTTCGTCTAACAATCCTAATGCCAATTTTAGAAACAATAAAAAAAATTGAGAACAATTTAAAACAATCGATTAATCATTTAAGGAACAAATGACGCGATTGAAAATATGGTGCCTTTGAGCACCAAATATAAAACATTGAATAATATTTATTCAGACAAGCAATGAACTTGTAAATTTAAAAAACATTTCAATAAGAAATTATGTAAATAAAATTAAATAATTTTCAGTAACACGAAATTGTTATCCAAGATTATCTAAAATATGATATTTTTCCAAAAATAAAAAAAAAGATAAAATAATTACTATCTTTACAGAAGATGATAAATAATTATTCTAATCAATCTAGTTTGAATAAGAATTAACTTTATCTAAATTGTTTTAATTCAATCCCTCTCTTTCTCTTTCTATTTTTCTTTCTGAATGTGATGAAATTTCCAACATCATAAACTTTATCAAATACTATTGCAATTGGTAAATGATTTATGTTATCATAATTAAAAAATGTTGGACAAATTGTTTTTATTTTGTAGATGAAATTAGACATTTTTATCATAAGAATTCAATAATAAAAAATTTAATAGATGAATTTATTAAAAAAGTTGAAATAGATAAAAAATTTTAAATTTTAATGACATTCGATTAACCTATTTACAACTCAATAAATGAATTACAAATTGATTGTATTAATCTTCTCCAAAATAAAAAAAAAAAAAAAAAAAATATTATACGGAATGATTTCCAGTATTTCCCCAATTATTTATTTGAATATTAGAGACAAAATAAGAAATGATTTATTTTAATAACCGTTTTTCTTAGCAAAGTGCATAATCAACAATAATTACGAACTTTTAAATTTAGAACAATGGGAATTGAATGATAAAATTATCAATAAGATTTTTAAAAATAAAGTAGTAAGTGAAAGATAATTAAAATTTTTATTTTAAAAAGATTAATCTATTTTTACCAGATTGACAGAAGAAAATTTAAATTGTTTAATGTTGTATGATTGCTATGACGAACCTTATCTTTGTTTTAAATTTATGTTGGAAAATGGGCTTCAACAAAGCGAAAAGTTAATAACAACATTTATTTATGTTTTGTGCGATTTGGAATTGGTTGATATTAGCAAAATACAATTTCCCATTCTACTTTAAAAAATAGATGAAGGTATTGATTTAATAAAAAAGAATAAAAGAAAAATAAACTATTAAGGATTATTGAATATTTTTTTGAGAATTGGCGGTTAAGAATAAAAAATTAAATTTTTAAAAACAATATTTAATCACATTCCCATTCAATAATTTTTGTGCAGATAAGAATTGTAAAATATTTTTCAATTGAATGAATTTGTAAAAGTTAATTTTGGGTATGAAGTTGATAGATTTTATTGGTTAGTAATGAGATAATCATTTTCCAATTTAATCAAGTATTCATAAAAAGAAATACAAAAAGATTATGAAAAAAGAACATAAGAAAAAACAAAGGAAAGAATACAAGAAAGAACAAAAGAGTTGTATTTAATGCTCAGCGAAATGAAAAGATTTTGCTTATTCTGTTTTACAAATTTTAAAAATACCGGTTATTATTCATTATGTTAAGAAATCGATATTATCAATCAACCAATGGATCCAACTTTGATCTATTAGATTTGAAATTTAATTCATCAACTATTTTTTTTATTTTTTTATCTGTGGTTGACATTAAAAATTAATCATCAAATTTTTTACCAAATTATTCAAATTCTCTTATTGTTGCTTTTTCTTAATTTTCTTTTTTTATCAACATAAATATTAAAAATAAAAAATAATCACTATCTTCCCATTTTTTCTTTGGTTGAATATCATAAAATTAATCAAAGAATGAGGATCTGGAACTTATTGTGATATTATTTTGTTCAAATTTATCAGCAATTTTTTAAAAGAATAATTTCAGATCATCGTTTTTTGAGGTTTCTAGAAACAACATTAAAAAATTAATATTTTTACAAAAACCAAAATATCTTTTTCTTATTTTCTTCTGAACAATCGAAACTATTTTCTGTTACAAATCTAATGAATAAACTTTGTTGAAATTCAATATTATCATCATTTATTAATCTACACAACAGTTCAGTATTTTTCTTTTCTAATAAAATAATATTCAGTTCTTAATTTTTCGTATCAACAAAATTAAATGGTGAAAAACAATGAATAGTAATATCATCAGAATCATTGATATTTTTATTAACCTGGTCAAACAAGCCGATGGTCATACTCCACAATTTTAAATTCCATTCTAAAATCTTCGTTGTTTTTAATTGTTTTTTTAATTCGTTCTCTTTTCCATGTTCATCATCTTATTCTATTTTTTATTCCGTAGTTCTGAATGTTTTCAAAATACAATTTGAGATTTCATCCATCTGTATTTTATTCAAAGATAATCCAATTCGATGTTCTTCTGGATCAACATAAAGTTAATCGTATTGTTTTGTTATTCTAATTTCAAATCCATTTGGATCTTTGAATTCTGGTGGTAAATTATTGATTCTGACAACCGGCTTTTCTTCTCTATCCAAAAATAAACTATAAATATCATCTTCGATTGGTTTTGATTTGGTAATTAAATCAGTTGTTTCTTATTCCAATTGTTTTAACTAATCCAAGTTTAACTAATTATCAGAAATATTTTTAAATTATTCTTATTTTTCGTTATAGTATTTTTCTGTTTTTTATTTAATTTACTCTAAAATGTAATAAATAATGAAAAACATTCCAAAAAAAAAACTACTATTTTTAATTTCAAATTGTGTTACTTATGATTTCATAATATCAATTGAAATTTATTGTTCCTTATTGTCTCTGTTAAAATAAAATAACAATGTTAACAAAAGAGAAAAAAGATCATCAAAAATTTAATTTAATTAATCGTATTTTTCAGAAATAAGTAAATTTTGTAAAAATTTTAATATTTCATTCATTTCATAGGTTATTGATAAACGTTGTACTGAAATTCTCAAATTTTATTAATCATTAGATAATTAATTTATTGTAGTGTTGTGAAGCTCAAATAGTTTCTTTATTTTTTCTTTAATATCTTCATTCTTTATTTTGTTAAAATAAAATACTAAATCTTAATCGAAAAATAATAAAGATTATTCACGAAGATTATCAAAATTTTTCATAATAAGCATATGTTCTTTTATTAAATCAGCTATCACAGAATTTAAATAAGAATCATTTGGTACTTTGTTATTGTTTATTCCACTTGAAAACAACAAATTACAAAAATAAAAATAAATACATCTTGAAACATAATTCATTGAAAATTCATCACTCTCTCCAATAATAGAAGTTAAATTAGTTTATTTAAAAAATTAACTAAAACAAATAATATCACTATTTTAAAGTTTGAGAAGATGTTCTGCCATTAAATTTCTTGTTTTTTCCGAAATTTCATGAAAATAAATATTATTAGTCAAAATATAAAATTTTTTTTAGATAGAATTTAATTTTAAATTTAACATAAAATTATTTTTAATTGATTCTTTGTCTATTTTAACTATTGATTCTAATCTTTCCATTTTACTTTGGAATTAATTTAATTTTTGTATTTTGAGTTCAGGAAATTATGTCAAATATTTTTAATAATCAAAATGTATCATCTCATCATTAATTTTAAATAAAAATATTTTCTTTTCTGTGAGTTTTTCAATATTTTTCAGATCTTCATTGGTTAAACTTTCTTTTTTTTTATTGTAATATCTCACAATACTTTCATGTAAATAATCTCTTGTAACTTCATAGTCAATGTCCAATAACAATTAACCTTTGTGATATGGTTTTCCATCTAACATCACAATATCATAAATTTTATCAAAAATTTTTATTTAAAGATATTCTTAACCTAATAACAATTCACCTGAAATAGTTCGCAATTCAGATTGTAATTCTTGTAATAATTCAATCTCTATTTTGCCAAAAATATCGTTTTTATTTCTGAGTTGAATCTTATCTTAATGGCAAAAATAATTTATTTCTATTTGAATGTAATTAACAATTAATAAAAAGTTATCAATTGTATCTTCCACACCCAATTAATCGATATTAACCTAAAATATCTTTTTTTCTTTATTTTTTTTATCTGGTAATTAAAAGAAAAATTTATTATTCTTTTTTACAACATCAATCACAATACAAACATTACAAGATTAACAACTAACTATTAATTTCTTTTCTTAATTTTTTATTTTATCAAGGGCATCGAAACAAAAGAATTTAATTTTATTAACCAAATGACTTATCATCATCACAAAAATAATCAAAACTAA